TGAGATTCTCCTGATCTCTGCCTACTGAGTAGCTAGGATTACAGACATGAGCCACCGGCCCCGGTGGGATTCCATTCTGATTCATTTTGAAGGTAAGATGCCAGGTTTGCTGAGATCAGATTTGGGGTGTGAAAAACAAGAGCCATGGCTGACCTCCAGGTTTTTGTCCTGAGCCACTGGAGGGATGTCATCCACTGACATTTTGAAAATACTCCACTAGGAGCAGGCCTGGGGTGTGAATCAGTTTTGTTTTTGGCTGTGTTACATTTGAGATGCCTATTAGACATCTGAGTAGAGAGTCAGTCTAGAGAACAATTGGGGACCAGATTCCTCTGGAATTCAGGGAGTGGGTCCTACACGAAGAATTGCCCTCAATTGTATTGTGAAATACATTAAGCATGTAATATCATTCATACATACACACACGTGGTCCACACTACATATAATATATACAGCAACTGAAGCAGGATTTTGGACTTTCACGAAAGGGAAGGGCATTTCAATTGGATGCGGGAAAGCAGGCACAAGAAAGTGAGGAAGGGCTTGCCCCAGCAATGTATGAGTGCCTGTTCCTTCAGGTCCTCACGGGGTGCAGATGGGGGAATGGGGAGTCTTAGGAACCCTTTATATGTTAGTTAATTTTTAGTTTTTTGGCATCACTAGGGTTTAAACTCAGGGCCTCATGCTTGCAAAGCAGCCTACCACTTGAGCCACTTCACCAGCCTTTTTTTTTTTAAGTTTTGAGATGTGGCCTTGAACTGGGCTCAACTGATTCTCCTGCTTTAATCCCCCACCCCAGGAGCTAGGACTATAGTTGTGTGCCACCATGCCTGGCAAGTCTTAAAAATGGAGTCCTGGGGCTAGGGTACAGCACTTGCCTAGCATGTGTGAGGCCACCTTTTTTCACTTTTGTTTTTTGACAGTCTTGCTATGTAGCCCAGGCTGGTCTAGAATTCTCAATCCTCCTGCCTTAGCCTCCCAAGTATTTGGATTATAGGAGTGCACCACCATGCCTGGCTGACACCGGTTTTCTACATAGAGATATGTAAAGGCACTACCCCCAACTCTAGAGATGGCAAAGTGTAGAGTTTAGTCTTGGGACCATAGGTAAGAGCAGGGAGGCAATAGTGAGAATAGGGGTAGGGGGTTCCTAGTCCTGGCTCTGAACCAGGGACTCGAAGCCTGGTGGTACTGGAGTTCTGATATAGCAGGACCTGCTAGACTCTGACAAGGGAGAGGGCCCACCATCAGGATCTTGTGGGTTGCGGTATAGGCCAGAATCCCAAGTTCTGGTAGCCACGTGATAGACACTGAATGCCACCAGTGCCACCCAGCTTGACCTTTGTAGATATGCTTGCATCCCGTGTCTGTGCGTCATAAACCATACTAGGGCATGAGCAAGAAGATGTAAGACACAGGCTTTTCAGCTTTTATTACAAAAAGAACGATTCCAGCCCAACTTAATTTCTCATCAAAAGTCACCACTCAAAATTTGATTTGGTCAGGGCTTCTCTGGCTAGGGAGCAGGCTGGTAGGTAGGAGAACGGCCTCCCTCAGACCATCCAGCATCTGAAGAAGTCGCTCTTGCAGCTGCTCACTGGGCCTCGTTGAAGCGGGTCACCATTGTCTTGTGCAGTGTTTCCTTGTAGGACTCCGTTGAGGTGACCCCATAGGAGCTGCCCCGGGCACCCAGGCCAGAGCCCCGCACTCGTGTTTGGGCCTGTGTGAGGGAGGCAGGTTCTGTCAGGCTGGCCAAGGGACAATGGGGCATGCTGGGGATAGGGAATAGCTCATGGGTGTTACATGGGTATTACCTCAATGGGTGTTACAATGCCCTGCTTCTTGCGGCCCAGGCCGCTGCCCTCTTTCCAGCCCATGGCCTGGAGCATGCGACTGCCAATGTTGTCACTGCCCAGCCCATCCCTAGTGGGCTGCTCAAAGTCCCTGCAGGGTACAGTGTACAGTGTGAGTGGCTAGGTCTAGCAGCCCCAAGCTCCCTCACCTGGCATCCTAACCTTGGCACTTACACAGTGGCTGTAGATATGCCGCCGTACTTCCTCCTCTTCGGCTCCGGAGGCTCAGGAATGCCATACTTCTCCCTGCGTTCTGCTGCTCGGTCCCGGTACTTCATTTGCTGCAAGTTTGTCGTGTTGCGTGCGTGTATGTCGCACGTAAGAATATTGGGGAGCTGGGTGCTTTTTCAGCAAACACAGCACAGATGGGGTGGGGTCCCACGGGCAGTTCTATCTGGCCAACAGACACCAGGTTCTGAGGGTCACGACATGGTGGGCACAAGCATCCCCGGTGGGGGAACTGGGAAGAGACTCTGAGGGACAGGATGACTGATAGCAGTTGGGCTATACCTGGCTAAGGAACTTGAACTCCCGTTGCCTGGGGGGGATGGGGATTTGGAAGGGGCAGAGAGCTCAGGAGTGGGTCACACCTCACCTCCATGTCATTCTTCTCTAGTGCTTCCAGCTCATTTTCTGACAAGTGGGCTCGCCGGTGAATCTCAAGGTTTTGCTGCAAGAGGGACAGGACAAAATGAAGCAGTTGGGCTGGGCTGGGCCAGGCTTGGGGTGCCACACCAACCTTCCCCTCAGTCACCTTGTGGAGCCCTGAGAGCTGCTGGTGCCGGATGAGTGCCTCCTTGCTGGGGAACTGGCGCCGGCAGAGCAGACAAGCCAGCTTCTGCCAGTCTGTGAGCTTTTCCTCCCGCTCAGGACCTCCACGCTCCTGCTCCTCCTCACTGTCGCTCTCCCCGCTGTAGGCTGCCACCAGCCCTCGAGGTGGGCTCTGTAGAGGGCAAAGGTGCTCAAGTGGTCAGGCCTGGCCAGATCAGAGGTCCCAGCCCTTTCTGCCCTGGTACTCACTGGGCGGTCGTCACTGGCCAACTTCGGGAGATCCATGCTGGTATGCTGTCTCTCAGCTAGCGCTCCCTGAGGTAGAGAACACAGAAATTCAGTTTCTACCACAGGGCCCTCAGGAATGACAAGACTGTAGGCAGGGTGCACGTGGGCAGCCACAACACACCTTCTTCTCAAGGATGCATAGCCAGCATCTCGGTGGCTGACTCCCGCCTTTCATCATCTCGCAGAGAGCTGATAGGCTGGAAGCTGTTTTTGAAGTTCTCTTTTTGCTTGTTTGAGACTGCGGGCCCACCTCTCCATATCCTTGGCAATCTGGGGGTGAGGGGGTACAGGTGAGACTGTCAGGAACCCTTCAGCTGGAGTCAACCAGCTCAGGCCCACTGACTCACAGCTCTTGCAGCAGTCTACCACCTTCCAGTCCGTGCAGCGTCAAACCAGAGTTTGCAAAGGGCGGCACCTGGTCTTTGGACTACAGCTCTCGTACCACCTCTCCTAGCAGAGTGCTCTTCTACAAACTGTAATAGTCTCCCTCCCACCCAACCTCCTTCAAACTACCACCTGGAGAACCCAAACTTGTGAGCAGGGTCTGCAAGGCACCCTGACCCCTACAGGTTCCCATTTCCAAGCATTCCCCGTGCCTCCCACTCCTTGTTTTCTGCGTAGAGGGCAAATGCATCTGGGAGACAGACAACCCCTTAAAAGGCAGAACTGCAGAAGGTGAGAGAGGCAGTGGAATTGCCAAGTTCGTATTTCTCTGTTATTGGTGTCACCAGGACCCTTCTGACAGGTAGTTGCACTGGTTTTTTTTTTTCCTCTTTTTCTCTGCGTTGAGAAAACGTTCCATTTGCTGTGTTTCCATTTTATCTTTCTGAAACACAGAGAACTATCTACCTGTGTATATTTTTTGTGTGTGTGAGGCTGAGGGTGGAACCCAGGGCCTTGAGCTAAGCAAATGCTCTACCACTGAGCTACATCCCCAGCCCCCCATGTATCATTTTAATGCACTTGTGTGATATGACACCACTTTCTATGTTCTGTGTTTTCCCTGAGACACATTACCATTTAAAAAATCCCCAGGTTGCTGAGGGAACACTTAGTGCTTGCTTCTAAATGCTGTGCCTGGACTGCCATATTCTTTCTCCAGAGACACCTGAGGATATCTCCCACAGCCCACTACCACAAAACACTTCAGTGGCTCTTTCCCTGCCTATCCCCTTATGGGCCTGTGAGAATTACCCTGGGATATATATAGACTAGGGTTCCTCTTAGGGGACAGAGGAAAGCTGACAAGGCTCACTTAGATGGCAAAAGCCACCTCATGGAGGCAGGCATCCCTATCGCGTACCTAGGAGACTGCTCTGCCTCAAGACCCCATCTTAAGCAGTTACCGCCCTGTCCATGTCCACCCCCACCTCTGCCAGCAGGAAACAGCAAGGGATGACACAACACACACACCAAACAGCCAGGCAGTAGCTCCTGGCTTACAGTTCACCTGTTGGGCTGTCTTGGTCTTGTGCTTCTCTTTCTTCTCCTTGCCCTCCTTTGATGGTGCCCCCGACTCCTTATGCCCATCGGCTGACTGCTCCAGGGCAGGAATGTAGGTCCTCCGCTCCCCATCCCAGTACAGGTATTGCTGGCTCTGCGCGTTGTAGTAATACTGAGGGAAGGTGTGAAGAGGGGCATGAGGGAAGACCTTGAGGAGGGACCTGGAGGCCAGCTGCCGCCTGACCGCACCCCAGCTCTCCCTGAGTTGCCCATTACCTGGGAGTTGGGGGTCATAGTAGAGGCCAGTCTGGGGATCATAGTAGTAGCCAGATGTCTCATATACTGGTAGTAGAGACGTTCAGGAACAGCTGCAGGGAGGAAAAGCAAGGGGGTCCCACTCTTCCCTGCTTTCTTAAAACTTTCCACCCCTACCTCAGGCCATGGCTACTCACGGTACTGCTGTAGGACTCCTGGGCAGAGGGGCTGGTGGCCGGTGGTAGGGTAGAGCTGGGATGGGTTGGACTCTGGAGCTCAGATTTTTAGCACGGCAGGTGATATGATGGTATATGACTGATCGTGGAGCCAGACGGGGGAATAGGGCTTAGTGTCTGTCAATTCCACCCATGCCCACCCAGGATGCTCCCTGCCTGCCCACCTGCCTCCCTGGGATACTCCTGGAACCCTCACCTGGCTGTTGGCAGCAGTGCCCTGGCTGCTGCTCACCTCAGCTGATTGTTGGTAGAGACCAGGGGCAGCACCAGGCTGGGCACGGGAGAAAGCCTGCAGTGACACAGAATCTGCCCCAGCCTCAAGTGAGGTCTCAGGACCTAGAAGGGACAAGGAAGGAGAAGAATGCCCATGAATGGCAAGGTGTAGGATCCTATGCCTGTAGGCCCCACCAACGGGGTCAGGGAGAAATGCGGAGGGTGAGGCTCACCTGCTCCGGTTGGGTCCCCTTTGGTTCCAGTCATGCCGGGGCCTTTGGTGCCCTTGAGGTAGCCATGGGCATAGAGGGAGGAGTCTGTGCCCTGGCTGCCACCATAGCCTTCATCCTGTTGGTAGTAGCTGTAGTCGACCGGTGGCTCCTCGGGGGTGGACCAGGCACCCTCCCCACCCTGGGAGGCCTAAGGGGCAGGTGGGAGGGGCTCATTAGAACAGCCAGGAACATGAGGGGAGGGACCTGTTAGAAGCAATTGTCTTACATGTGGGGCTAGTGCTTCCGCCTGACAGAAAAGCATCAAGCCTTAAGACAAGTGAAATGTGAGGGCCATGTGGCCATGAGAGAACAGGGCAGTGGTAGAAAAAAAAAGACTGGAGAAAGGACACACACTCAAATCCTCCGAGGGCTAATACTGGTGTATATGGTACATGTGTTGGACCTTGGACCAAGGAAGACACCTCTTCCTCCACTTCTTTATTCTCTTCCAAATTTCTTTCAACCACTTATAAGTTCCTTTTTTATTCAGGAACATTTGATATATACACATATATAAATACATTATATACACAAACATAGACAGACACATAGGAGGAATACATAACACATTATACCAATTCAGAACAATAATTTCACCCAACAGAAAAGAGCACCAGCCCCAAAAATATTATCAATGAAAGCCCAGGAAGCGACTGGGATGAGAGCTGGAGAGGACAGCGTGGGAATGGACCAGGTCGTCTAGAACCAGGAGCAAGGTACCAGCAACTAATGATAATTGCATCCTGACAGCAAGTCAGCCCTGCTGTTTGCAGAGAGGGTGCAGGAGGGTTGACAAAGACAGGTGTCAGGGTACTGGGGGTGGAGGGGTCCAAGTACCTGTGAGATGGCCCACTGGGCCGCTGCAATGGCAGTGCTAGCCACAGAGGCAGCGTTGATGCGACTGCCTTCATTGGAAGCCATGTCCCTGGGGAGGATGGTAGAGGCCAAGAGTTAAATGGGAGGCCCCAAGCTGGAGGGGCAAGCTGGGAGGGAACATAGGTGGGGACCTGACCTCTTAGAACCCTTGGCAAACTCGACATTGATGGTCTTGCCGTCAATGGTGAGTGGCGGGTGCAGGGCCTGCAGGATCTGTAGCAGCTGGGCTGCTTCCTGTGGGTGGAAGGACGGCAGGGACAGAAGGGTCAGGCCCGGGGAGGCCCCCGGCTCCATTGCCCCATTTCCAGGCTTGGGGCCGCGGTGGGGGTTAGGGGAAGGGTCCCTCCTCTCCACCCTGGGGGCCGGGACCCTGGATGCCCGGCCCCCCCCTGTGCCGCCCTCACCACGATGGTGGAGAGCTGGATGAAGGCAAAGCCTCGGTTCAGTTGGGTCTGCTTGTCCTTGATGACACGCACGTTGGAAGAGGACAGCACCGCATAGGGTGCTAGGGCCCCCAGGATGGAGTCCATGGTGCTGTGTGGGTTCAGGTTGCGCAAAATGATGGCTGTGGGAAGGGGGCTCAGTGTTAGGGGGCACCTGTGACAGTCTGCTCCAGCCCCTCACTGCTCCCTGTCCTCTGGCCCCCATGCCTGTGCACCTGCTGCTTCATGTCACCTCTTCTTTCTGGATAAACTCTGCTTGTCAGTCCAGGTGCCAGTTTGCTCACTCAGCTGCTGAGGCCCTTCCCAATACACTCCCAAGGTCGGGTTGGTAGCTGCTCCTCCCCCTGCTCTCTCTGTATCATGTATGTCTTCCCCCGTCAGGTGGAGACCCCCGTGAAGCCCAAGTCTGTTCACTACCATTTCTTTGCACTTGAGAGGCCTAGCCCAGATACCCCAGGGCCCAGGAGAAGAGGAAAAGAACAACTGACTCACTGTCGTTGGCGTTCTCCGAGCTTGGCTCTGAGCCTTGTGACAGAGCTTGGGAGGCCAGCACTCCCTGGGCCTGGTAGGGCTGTGGCAGTGGGAGCAGGCCCTGGCTTAGCTCCCGCCCACCCAGTGGTAGTGCCTGCTGATCAAGCCTGGTGCCAAGGGGCAGCTTCTGTTCTGCCTCTGTTGGGGACAGTGAGAGACTAGTGACAAAGGGGGAGGCTCCATGGATGGGTCACCCTCCCCCCTACTATGCCAATCCTGAGTACTGGCCCCTCATCCTTCTCCCCACCCCATATCCTGGGGTTGGTAGGTCTTACCTGACTTGGGCACACCACATTTGAAGCACTTCTCTCGGCGTTTGAAGTTCTGGACACCACACTGTGAGGCATAGGCCAGGTGGTCAAATGGGGAAAGCCTTTCCATGGCACCCTCCAAACCTGGATCCAAGATCCCCCAGCAAACCCCGCAATAATATCCCAGAGTTTGGGAAGTCCCACAGTTAGACAGCAGAGGTCTTCTGGAACGTTCATTGTCATTCTCAGTTCTATGAATCTTCTCTGACTTCTTGGTCCTTGGTTCTATTCCCCATAGTTCAGGAATCAAAACTCCCTCCCTCACACATTATAGCAGCTGCCTCCTCCTCTCCCTTCTGCCTCTTTGGGGATACCAATTCTCAGGACTGCTCCCCTCAGGCCCTCTAGTATGTTCCTCTTCCCAAGACCTGCTCTTCTACTCAGGAACCTTCAACGTGTCCTCCTAGAAGCAAGCAGCCTTTTGCCAGACTCCACCCCTCCTTTATCTTAGGAGTGGGTTGAATCCTGCTACTTTGGGACAATTTTCTCAGACATTCCAGCCTCTAGAGACCTCACCCTCCTTCCACCACATTCTATTCCTGTGCCATAGTCAAGTACTAAGCAGTGCTCCTGTGCCAGGCTCTGCCCCACGTGGCCCCATGTGGCCTCTGCCCTGGGGACCTAATAGCAGGGAGGCAGATGCAGCATAAGGAGGGTCAGGCCAGTCTTCTGGGACTATGTCCTGACAGGAGTTCAGGAAGGGAATGGGCCAAGAGGTACACAGCTTGCTGGGCTGGGCTAAGTTTAGTTTTGTTGGGAAGGGATCCTAATGAAGGGAATAAAAGATTTTCTGCAGATTGTGTTAGGGGTCAAGCAGAGAGAAAAAAACCGAGGCTAGGAAGGGAAGCTGATGCTAGATAATGGAAAATCTCATGCTTAGGGTTGTTAGGGGTTAAGCAGAAAGGGAGGGAGGTGGTTGGAGCTGGATTTCAGCTGCAACCTCACAGGTGAGGACCAGAGAAAGAGGTAAGGGGCCAGCATACCAGAAAGGGCTCTGCAGGGACTGGGTGGCAGGGCGTGAGGATTGGCATGAGCAGTGGGAATGGCAAGGAGTGAGGAAAGGTGGCATTTCTGAGATTGAAGCGACAAGACCTGCTAACCAACAGGAACACAGGACACAAAGGAGAGGAAGGAGGTGAAGAAAATCGTGCTGTCAAGGAACAGCTGAAAAAAGAAGGGTGGAGTGCCAGTCTCACTTTGTCCCTCTCTCTCTAGAGCGGCTGAGCACCAGCCCTCTGATAAGATGACAGATGCCACTCCCCGAACAGGCAGGGTAATTCTCAGGGAGAAGGCAGGGGCTTCTACTAGCTTTCAGTCTTCCCCTTAGACTTTGGGTTTGACAGATCACACTGAGAGGTAGGGCTGTGGAATCGCAAAGCTGGGCCCTGGGGAAGACCTGAGGCCACCTGGGGCATCCATGGTCCCTATGATCAGGAGTACTGGCCAAAGGCTCACCCACAGTTCCATTTCTCCAAGCTTCAGCTTCCTCTTAGGGAATTATGGAGGTGACCACAAAACCAACACATTGAACCTCCAGGCTCAGGTGTGACATGGCTGTATCAGAGTCACCTGATATGGGCCCTCAGAACACTCTGTGCTTGTCTTCACTTGTAACCATGACCACTTATACTGTGCTGTGGGACAGGAGTCATTCTGAGTGTTACCTTCCTATCAACAGTTTCATCCTCCTCATTAGTGCTTGCATCTTAGGGACAGGCAGAGATAGGAAAAGCACCTTGACCACCATCAAGATCTACCCAAGATTTACAGTCTGTACAAAGCCTGGCTCTGAAGGCCATGTTCTACACACTGCTCTCAGTTCAGGCTACACTGTCATTAATTAATGAGTCATTTACGAAAATATTTCTTTCAAGCCTGCTAGGCCTTCAGGCAAGACTGTTTGGTGAGGGCAGAGCCTGGCTGGCTGGAGCTAGAAAGCCCATCCTCAACACTACACCTCCTCACAGGCCCAGAGAGAGAAGGGCTGCCCCTATCCATGCACTGCTGCCCACTACCCCTGTACCTTATTACACAGCCAGTCCTCATTGATCTTGGGTTTGGGGTCACTGTAGTGCATGGACACCTTCTGGCCCAGGATGTTGAGGGAGTGCTGTAGGGAAAAGCAGAGCACAGTGAGGCCCAGGCAACAGTGCCCCACGCACCGTTTCAGCAAAGGAGAAGAGAGTGAGCGAGCCCTTCAGCTGGATGGATGAGGGACAGGGAACGGAGGGAGGTTGGAGAATGGACGGAGGGAAGAAGGAAGGGAGGGAGGGAGGGAAAGCGCCACAGCTCTCGGGCGCAGCTGCTTGCTGCTTTTCCGGGCACACGCACGCACACGTGAACACACACCACCAGGCACACAGTGCTCGGCTGACCGATGCCTGCCGGACAATGGGGAGAACCCCCAACTCAGTCCTGACACTGGCAGGCCACACCCAGGGCCTGCACTACACAGGCTACACTTGGGGATGAGGGGAGATGGGAAGGGAAGGGAAGGGAGAGGAGGGGAAAGAGAGAGAGAGAGAGAGCACGCACACACGCTAGTGCTGGAGAAGGGGAAAAAGAAAGAGCCATATTTAAGGATGGAAGATCCCACCATGAGGCCACCTTTCAAGGCTGGCTGGGTCCTAGGCCCATCACACTAGCCTATCACCCAGCAGAGCTGGCCCCAGGGCTGCTTCTGCCTGAGACCCTCCACTTCACCACAGCTACCCTTTCCTCCCGATGCTTCTAGGGGTCAGAGCTGGGATGGGGGCTGGGTGGCCAGGGCAGAGTTTTAGGTCTTGGAAGGTCCCAAAGTTGCTGGGTTGGGATCCCAGCCTAAGGGAGCAGGCTCCCTCTGTTGCTGACCAAACACAGCTCCTTGCTCAGAAGGCAGAGGTGAAGCCTCCTGTGGGTGGGGAAAGGTGAGTGAAGTGAGCCCAGGTTATCAACAAAACTGTCACACTTGAATGGAACTTTCAACCAACAGAGCAGTGCTGTCCCCTCTGCACGGAACTCAAAAACCCAAATTCACATGCAGGGAGAAGGCTGACAAAACAAGTCTTGCTAGTTTACTGTGCCAACAGCTCTGTTCCCTGATGGCAGGACTTCCAGTGGTCCTAAGAGTGCAATCAAGTACTGGCTCTGGCTGACTCTGGTGGCAGCAGGGAGGTCCCACTGGGACCCACCCGCCTGCCCCTAGGGTGGAAAGCTAGGGGAAAGAACCCACCCTGGCAGCTCTTTCTCTGAAAGCTCAGCCGGGAGAGGCAGCGCACTAGTGCCTGGTAGGAGGAAGGGGGTAGGAGGTAAGGGAGAGGGCCGGTGCTGAGCATGGGCTCCAGATGGGAAGCCCACTGGGTAGCGAGAGATGGGAACAGGAGATAGTGAGGGTCAGGAAGGGGGAGAGAGGGGACAGGGGCTGGGACACAGGGCCACAGGGCAGGGAGCTGTGTCCATAAGATTCAGGCGATGGGGAGCGCTCGATTATAAAGTAGTATTTGTTTGGGGGGGGGGTTCAAGTGCGGCAAAGCAACCTGATTGGCTTCCATCCATCGTGTAGCGTCCTGCAAGTGACTAAACTCGACGAAGGCGAAGCCCCGGCTCTGACCTGGAGACAGCATTCAGATACAGACGCAGTGGGTTAGTCAACAGCTTTGGACACACGGCGTTCCCGGGGGCGGGACCCGAGGGGAGAGGACCAGGGGCAGAAAGGGAAGGGGTAAGAAGAAAAAGGAAAAGAAAAAAGCCATAAGAGAGAGAAAGAGTAGGGAATATGGGAGGCAAGGTGGATGGCTGGGAGGAAAAGGGAAGAGAGAATGGGGAGGGAGGAAAACAGCGTAGGAAAGATATTAGGGTAGAGAGAGACATACACTCCAATTGGGTAGAGATGGGGCTCAGGCAGACCTGCCCAGCCGGCCTGGAGTGACAGAGATGGAGAAGGGTAGCTCGGAGGGAAAGGATGCAAGGACATGTCTCCAGAGGAGGAGGGTAGACAGCCTGCTGACTCCACAGGGGCCAGAGCAAATAACTGAAGGGCAGACCCAGCGCCAGGCTAGGAATGTCCTGGAGTAAGTGTTTAATCAAAGGAGCAAAAGAGAAGTGAGGCTAGGTTGGTCTGTGAGGCTACGGGGGCATGGGAACTTGGGACACAACTCCTGCCTAACCATGGAGCAGGGAAGGGAGAGACCTCACTAGAGAGTTACCTCAGGGCCACATTGGGAAGACTAAAGCCACCAACAATCCAGTTCTCCTAGACAGAAGGAGAATGGTGGCTGGAGTTGGCCAGGAGGATCTTAGAGGTGAGAATCAGTAGTTGCCTGGGAGAAGTGACCAGAGTCATTGGGAGGCCACACCTGGGACACCTCCTTGGGGAAGAGAGTGAATCTGTCAGCATGCCTGGAGTGAAACAGAGCAAGGTCTACAAGAGAGACTCCAGTCCTGGCCAGGGAAAAGGAGTTCAAGTTGAGGCCTCAGGAAAGCATTTCCTTCTGAGGTGATAGAGGAGACTTTGGATATGGTGGGTCTTGGGAGTGAGGTATGCTTGGTCTCCAAAAGAATCACCATTAGGATGCACAGAATAGAATAATCTAATCAGAGGGAGGGGGAGGGAGAGGGGAGAGGAGGGGAGAGGGAAGAGGAGAAAGGGAGAGGGGAGAGAGAGGCAGGGAAAGGGGGGAGAGAGAGGAGGGGGAGAGAGAGGAGGGGGAGAGAGAGAGGGAGAGAGAGAGAGAGAAAGAAAGAGAGAGAGATATGGCAGGAAGGGAGGAAGGAAGGAAAGATGGTGTAGGGAGGAGAGAGACTGAGATGGAGAAAGAAACCCAGGCAGAGTGAGGCCCCACTGTGCCTGCCTTGGGGAGCCTGGGCAGAGGTCCTGCAGAGACAACCCCCCCCACCCTGCTAACCACAGGCCAGCTCCAAGCAGCCTGCAAGAGGGAGGAAGGGAAGGAGGGATGGAGGCAGGAGGCGAGGCCTTAGATGAGAGCTATCCCCTGCCTCCCTTCTTGGGACACATGGGCGGGTCCATATCAGACCTACTTTTTGGTCAGAGGCTGTTGCCAGAAAAATGTGGAGGAGAGCAAGGGGCAGAGGAAAGAGGAGAGGGAAGGGAGTGTGCTGGGAGGGGTCACCTCAGATACTGAGTCCCAAAGAGGAGGTTCCCCAGAGCCTAGCCCTGGGGAGTGCTCAGCTCAGGCTAGAGCTGCACCCTCTCCCTGACAGACCCCCATAAGAGGCTACTGGCTGGAGCTGTGAGAGCGAGGGAAGGGGAGAGAAGGGGGTACCTCCCCCAAGCTGCCCATTCCCAGCTGTGGTGGGAAGGTGGGATAGGGAGGGTGAGGGAGAAACAGAGGCAGGAGGGAGATTTGGAGGCTGAGGCTGGCCAACAGAAGGGAAGGGCACTGGGAACAAAAGCTCACCTGAGGATTTGTTCCGCATCAGCCGGACCTCCCGAGCTTGGACGCCATGGGACTGCAGCTGGCCACGGATCTGTACAGGAAGATACAGAGTGTGGTGGGCTCAGCAAAGGGGGTGGTTGGGTGGATGAAGTGGCTGGAGGCCTCTGAACCCTGAGGGGTCATCCATGACACACACACACAAACAGGCACATACACGTCACACATGCATGTACACACCCACCACCACCACTTCCTCTGCCTTTCAGAGCTTTCTCCTGACTGACAACAGCTCCGGGCCCACACCAGTACTCAACCTTGGCCTCCAGCCCCAGACTTGCAGAAAGTGAGTCAGATGAAGACAGGGGCACAGTGCAGGGTAAAGAACAGAGGCAAGATGACTCCCAGAGGCACAGAGACAAGAGGAGAGCAAGTGAGCCAGCAACTCAAGAATGGTAAGGAGAGGGATCTGACAAGGGACTCAGTGGCAGCCGTGAAGCGAGGAAAGCTGGAATGCGATCTTGCCCTCTGCAAAGGGATTGTTCCCTCCTCTGGTTTGAACCAAAAGACACCTGTAACTCAAAGAGCAAACTGGGGAAGTCAAGAGCCCGAGCAAATTCCAGCCATGTACCCTAGACCATGAGAGGAGGAGGAACTTGGGACGGAGACAAAAGGCACAGTTGTGGGTTTGGCAAGCTTCCCGAGGGAGGTGAGCCTGAGGGAAAGCTGCAAGGGCAAGTTAGGAGCAGTGGAGGATGGGGAGCCTATGCCAGGCACTCTCAGGGAGGAAGTCTTTGTGCCTCTGGGCCTCAGTTTCCTCATTGGGTTAATCAACAAACAGGAAACTAGCCTTACACACATATGAACACATGAGAATGCAAAGGAGAGATTCACAGAAGAGCTTATCGGGATTCCAAACACTCAAGGGGGCCTAGGAAGCAGCAAGAATGGGGGCTCTGGGGTCCAGCTGCCCAGGTTCAGACCTCAACTCTGCTCTGCCACTTGTTGGCTGTGGATACGGGACAGGTCACTTCGCTGCTTGGGACTTGGTAAGGCCAACTACAAAGAGTACCTTCCTAGCAGGGCCTCTGTGAAGATTCAATGAGATCTGGCTTGTGGCCCCCTGTGCCATAAATCCTCAGTGAATATCAGCAATCAGTGACTGCCTGACCCTGAAGAGGGCAGGTGAGCCAGACTTCAGAAGTCCTCATGTACCCAGGCAGGTTTCCACTGCCACAAAGTGGGCAGCAGGAGACTTCAGAGGAGCACTGCTCAGAGAACTCGCAGGGTTAGAAGGCACTAAGAACCAAGAACCAGGAGCTAGCTAGTTAGTGGTCCTCTTGGGGTTTTAGTGTGGCTTGTTATGAGAGGTCTGTATGAGAAGGAAACAGGAGAAAAAGAAAGATGGAAGGTAGAAAATGTCACAAAGGCAAACAGGGTGAGGAAACTGCCAGTAGTTAGTCGCTTTTCACTGCCTAGTCAGTGATAAGAGTCAATGCTACTGACAAAAAGCGGAGAGGGAGGAGAATGAATTTCAGAAAATCCCATGGGCTCTGATCTTTGCTCTGCATATGCAGAAAGGATGAAAACTAACAGAATGTGCAGAAAGGATGTTCTTTTCCCTCCCACAGCCACCGGTGCAGATGCTGCCCCGGGGCCAAGCTGGCCTATCTACAGACACTCCTCCTCTCCACACCCCAAGCTAGCGGGCTTTTCCCACAGATAGACAGCACTGGAGGACAGGTGCTGGTGGACAGAAGGGAGGAAAGGTGCTGAGGTTGGCGGGTGAGGCAGGGGTAGGGAGAAGTTGGGTCCTGGAGGAGACCCAGCCTGGCCTCCTGATCTGCCGCCTGCCCAGGGCCATGGGGGGCACGTACGTCATCCTCAGTGGCTGCCTGTGGCAGCATCCTCAGCATGACGATGTTACTGGCCTTCTCCTCCTCCTCCTCATCCTCCTCCTCCTCCTCCTCCTCCCCTTGCTCGGTCCGATAGTCCTGGTCCCGATAGTCGCCGTCTCGGGGGAAGCCTGGTGGGCCGGTGGGGCTGTGCCTGTGCCGCCGCCGCCGCCTACGCTGAGTCTCGGAGCCCGGGGAGGCCTCGTAGGAATCCTGGCCGACAGAATGAGATGAGAGACACCAGACGGGCAGTCAGTCTGGCCAGGTCTAGGGGCTGGCCGCTGGCTCTCTGAGGCAGGCAGGCTCTGAAAGCCAGGGGTGGGCGGGCTCCGGCTAACAGCTCTGACAGGCAGGGTAGGTAGGCCTTGGACTGCAACCCTTCTTGGACTGGAAATGCTCCACAGGATACTTTGGGGGCCTGCCTTCAGGGGATGGTTGCATTGGTATAGAGGAGGAACTCCCAAAGGCAGGTGATAATACGGCTTAAACCTCCTTGGGATGAGCTGCCCTAGGGTCAGCACACTAGACACCGCCCTCAATTTCTCCCCTCCTCTTCCCTTACCAGCTCAGCTGGCATGTACACAATTGTTCCCTGTGCCATTGAAAGCCACCTATCTCCTCTAGTTTCCAGCATGCGCTTGGGCACAGGAACAGCTTCAGATATGGGCCAAAGGTAGCCAGCAGGACCTGGCCCACGTGTGAGCCACAGATGCTCTCCACTGGTCCCTGTTCTTCAGCTCTGCCCAGGGCTCTGGCACTACCAGTTTCCTTCAAAACAGAGTGTGGCTGCTGCCCAACTCACCTACCCCAGGACTAAGGAGGCTAGGCTGGGCCTACGGGCTTACACCTGCCTGACTACAGGGGGATTAGAGCCAGATAACTAGGTGCTCCACTCCCACACTTGCCAATGGTCCCTCCCTGGGCCCACTGAGTCCCTGAAGACATCCAGGTGCAGCTCCACAGCAGCCACTGGGGAAGCTGGGATGCCTCTAGCCCCTGGCCTCTGACTCAAGCTAGTGGTCTACTATGGGGTCTTTGAAGTAGGCCCTCCAGAGAGCAGAGGGTGGCGCTCACCCTGCTTTCCCAGGGCTGGGCTTGCAAGAGTACCTTTCCTACTCTACTGGACAGGAGAGTTGCCTGCCTTCGTGCCCCCTAAAATGGAGGTCCCCCTGAGGTAAGGCTGCTTCTTCCCCTCAGATGTGAGCTCCCTGATGGAAAGCATGTGCGGGGGTAACTATCCCGCACAGAACTGGCTCCCCTAGGGGTCCTTTCCTTGCCTTCTCTCTAGGGGCTCTGTCAATACTAGGAATGCCCATGGCTGGCCTTCCACAGCTGCTTGGCTTGGTGATGTTCTATCCCATGATTTCCCTCCCAACCCCAGACACTGGTCCCACAGAAAAGACTGAATACCCTAAATTGGCTGGGAGCAGGCAGTATAGGGCTTGCAGTGAACCACAGGCCAAAACTGAACAGGGAAGAAGGGAAAGAGGTGGTGGCCAGGAGCCCTCAGAAATACAGAGGCAAGCATGTGGAAGCCAGGGAGACCCAACTTGGGAGAGGAGCCCTTAGAGAAGGGGACAGGGATAGACTCTCCAGGTGAGGCAAAGCCACTGAGCAGTCCAAAGGCACAGGAGCAGAGTGCTGCCTGCACTTGGTGTTGCAGCCAGACACATGGGCCCTTCAGGAGCACTGCCCTCAGGCTTGGCCCTGTCCTTACCTCTGCACTCTGCTCTTCAGAGGAGTCGTCATAGTCATGCTTGCTCTCCTGGCTGCCATATTCACGCGGGTATGAGCGGTAGTCCATGTCCCGGTAGTCATGGTCTCGGCTGCGGTTCTCTCCACCATCATCCTGAGAGCGATCAGTGGCTCCATAGCGGCCGGTCCTGTCACCACGACCACCTCTAGGGGAAGAAGCAATGGGATTTCTGAAAGGTGCAAGAGGCAATGGTGGCCCCACCCCTCCATCTAAGGTCCTCATTTCCACATCTCAGAGACTCTGAAAACCTCATCACACAGCATGGGCCAACTGCCACGTGGCGTTTTTTTTTTTTTTTTGCAGTACTGGGGTTTGAACTCAGGGCCTACACCCTGAGCCACCCCACCAGCCCTTTGTTTGTGATTAGTTTTTTCAAGATAGGGCCTCAAGAACTATTTGTCCAGGCTGGCCTCAAACAATGCTCCTCCTAATCTCTGCCTCCTGAGTAGCTAGGGTTACAGGTGTGAGCCACCAGCACCTGGCTGCCACGTGGCTCTTAAAATCAATTCACCTCTCTCCACCCCTCCTGCACCTCAGGTGTGGCCTCCTGACTTGATCCCACATCTCCTACCAGTTCTGTCTTTGCACACCAAATCACAAATGTGAGTGTTGTCTAAGGCAAAGCCAATCAACCCAACCACATCATTCCCTTCAGCTGCTTTCTCTTAGTCTCCAGATAAAACACCCAAATGCTCACTAAGAACCTATTAGACCTGCAGGATTCTGCAGGGTAAGGTCCCTGCTCATTGTGCATGCCACCCTGCTCGTTTCAGTTACCTTACTAGCACTGATAACTTTTGTTTAAAATTCTCCTACTACAATAATTGTAAAATAATTATCTCAAAGTTGATTTAATTTTAATTAGTTAAAAATTTAATTTCTTTGATCACCGGCCGTAGTGATACATGCCTATAATCCCAACATTCCAGAGGCCAGCCTGGGCTCCATAGTGAGTGCCAAGTTGGCAAGGGCTAGTCAAAAAATATATACAATTATGGGCTAGGGACATGCCTCAAATGGTAGAGTGCCTGCCTAGCAAGCACAAGGCTTTGAGTTCAAATCCCACTACCACCAAAAAAAATCTTAAAAATTACTATAGGAGCTGAGGATGTAGCTCAGTGGTAGCGTGTTTGCCTAGCATGTGAAGGGGCCCTGAATTCTATCCCCTAGCACAGCAAAAACAAAAATAATTACTAGGCCTGTAGAGTCCCAGATACTCAAGAGGCTAAGGCAGGAGGATCACTTAAGAAAAGGAGTTTGAGGTCAGCTTGGGCTACAATAGCAAGACCCAGCCTTCAAAGAAAGAAATTAGGGCTGTGGATATAGTTCAGTGGGAGAGTACGTGGCCAGCATGCAGAAGGCCCTGGGTTTGATTTGCAAAGCACCTGGGTGTTATGCCCCCAGCCCTATAACCTGAAATGGGAGAAAATTATGAGCGAAATTCAGAAGCCATAGGATAAGAGATTATTAAATTCAATTATATAAAAATAAAACACTTCTGCTTGGAAAAAATATAAAAAAGAAAAAGAACAGTCATAAGTTAAGTCAAAAGATAATAAACTAGCAGCTGCAGGTATAGCTCAGGGGTAGAGCACTTGACACAGATATGAGGGGCTGGGTTCCAAAACAGAACAAAACACAAAAACAAACAAAAACATGCCCATGCCTGTAATCCCAGCACTTGAGACTCTGAGGCTGGTCTGAGTTACACAGTAAGATACTGTCTCAAAACCAACCAACCAAAACACACCAAGAAACAACCAAAAAGAATAAACTGGAAAAAATATGGGAGGGGAAAGGAAATGAACAGAATTCACAGAAAGAAATACAAATGATTTGTATTTGAAGATACTTTATCTTACTCATAATGAAAGATGAAATCAAAACTACACTTACTCATAATGAAAGATGAATAGACCATTTAAAAACAGACTAAGTCTTACTTCTGTATATTTTTTCCTAAATCATTTTTACAGTGGTAAAATATACATGAGACTTACTTTTTAGCCATTTTTAAGTATATAATTCAGTTGTCTAACTCTCACCATTAGCTTCCCCGACCTTTTCACCATCCCATCAAAGTATGTCCTCAGTCATGTGTAACTTCTTTGGAGAAATAGCCATTCAAGTCCTTTGCCTCTCCTTTCTTTCCTTTTGTGGTGCTGAGCGCCTTTTGAGGGCCTCACACATGCTAAGCATGGGCTGTGCCAATGAGCTAGATCCTTAGCCCTTGTCCATTACTTGAGCTGTGTTCTTTATATAGTTTAGACATGAAGCCCTTATCAGATATATGACTTGCAGACACATGTTCCCATTCTGTGGGTTGTCTTTTTCATTCTCTTGATAGTGTCCTTTGATGTACAAAAGTTTCTAACCTTGATGAAGTCAAACTTATTTTGAAATAATTTTTGACTTGCAGAAAAGTTCAAAGATAACAGAATCTTATAAACCCTCTGCCCTTCTCCTAATATTCAGAGAGATATAGCACATTTCTCAAAACTAAGAAATTAGACTACAGACTTTCATAGGATTCCACCAGTTTTCTCCTGTGTGGCCTTTTTGTAGTTTCCAGTGTGTAATCCAGGATACTGTACTGCATCTAGTCATAATGCTCCCGCAAGTCTCCTCTGGTCTGTAAAACTTTCTCAGTCTTTCCTTGAAATTTTTTTTTCAGTACTAGAGTTTGAACTCAGGACCTCATGCTTCCAATGGAGCCATGCCCCTAGTTCTTTCTTGCTTTTAGTTATTTTTTCAGGTACAGTCTTTTGTTTTTGCCTGGGGCTGCCTTGGACCGTGACCCTCCTATCTCCAATATCCCACGTAGCTGGGATGATAGGCATGTACCACCACCCCCAGTTTATTAGTTGAGATGAGGTCTCCGTAACTTTTTTGCCCAGGCTAGCCTCAAACCTTGATCCTCCTGAGTAGCTGGGACTACAGGTGTAAATAACTGTGCCCAGTTTTTTGTTTATTTTTAAAGAATCATAACAGTTTTTTTTTAAAGAGTATTGGTCAGGTATTTTGTATAATGTCCCTCCTCAATTTGGTGTTCTCCTAATTAGACTTGATATTCTGGATTTTTTTTTTTTTGACAAGCATGCAACAGAAGTGAGAAGCCCTTCTGCTTGTACCACAGTGAGCAGTACAGGGTATCATCATGATATATAAGATGGTTAAGTCAGTATTTGCCATTATTTCCCCCTGTAAAGTTTCTAGTTCTCTTTTCCATCTCTATTGTTTGGAAGTGAGTCACTAAACCAGCCCATAATCAAGACAGGAACTAAGTTCTGCCTCCTGGAGGTGACAATATCTACACATAGTATTGGAACTTTTCTATAAGGAAGATCTGTGACAGAACATTTTTAATCCAACATATTTACAAAAGCCCAAAAGTTCAACAAATTCTGCTGGCAAGGCTGTGTGGGAGATAAACTCTCATACTGCTGGTAGGGATAAAAATACAACCACCCCTAGGAAAGGAATTGGGCAACAGCTGGCAAAACTAAATCTATAGGCACTCTGAACCACAGTCTACTTCTGGGAATTGAATGTACAGATAAATCTGAACATGTGCAAAAATGTTATTCATCTCAGCACTATTTAAAACATCAAAGGAAGCCGGATACCAGTGGCTCACACCTGTAATCCTAACTACTTGGGAGGCTGAGAATGGGAGGACTGTGGTTTGAGGCCAGCCCAGGCAAATAGTTCTCAAGTCTGTCTCTAAAATAATCACAGTAAAATGGACTGGAAGTATGGCTTAAGTAAGTAATAGAGCACCTGCTTTGCAAGCATGAAGTCCTAGGTTAAAATCTCAATACATTAAAAAATAAATAACAAACCCCAGGCCCACCAAAAAAATAAAAAAGGGCAAGAAACAACTTAAAAGAATCAGGGAAATTCTGCTAAAAAAGATTAGCAAGGGAAGAAGAGCTCAAGCAAATATTAAAACATATTATAAAGGTAGATCAATTAAAAAGTGAGTGCAAAGATCAGCAAAATAGAATAAGAGCCTAAGAGTCTATAGCATATAACAAAATACAAGGAAATTTAGTGAAGCTAAAGGTTGTATTTCAAATTAACAAGGAAAAATGGATTAGTCAACAAATAATAGTGGTAATAACTACCTGGCCTAGGGATTGGCAAATTGTAGCCAGCAGGCCAAATCTAGCTGCTTTAAATAAGGTTTTATTGGAATATAGCTCTACCCATTCATTTACACATGGTCGGTGCCTGCTTTCATATGAGTAGTTATATTAGAAACTATACTGTCTGCAATAACAAAAATATTTACACGGTCCTCTACAAATGTGCTGACCCACTTCACTTTCTTTTTCTTCTTTTTTTTTTTGGGGGGGGGTACTGGGGTTTGAACTCAGGGCCTATACCTTGAGCCATTCCACCAGCCTTATTTTTGTGATGGGTTTTTTCAAGATAGGGTTTCGCCACTATTTGCCTGGGCTGGCTTTGAACCTCGATCCTCTTGATGTTGGCCTCTTGAGTAGCCAGGATTACAGGCATGAGCCATGGGCATCCAGCACACAGGTCCATCTCGAGCAAGAAAGTTATCCTATCAGAGCTAGTTCAGTATCAAGGTCAATTTGTCTGCTATCATGGATACTGTCATGACACATTTTTGCTGGGCTCCATTTTTTCCTTTGCTGTCTTTTTTTGTGGTGGTGGTTGTTTTGCAGTACTGAAGTTTGAACTCAGGGCCTGCACCTTGAGCCACTCCACCCTTTTTTGTGATGGGTATTTTCTAGATAGGGCCCCTCGGACTATTTGCCTCGGCTGGCTTCGAATTACGATCCTCCTGATCTGTGCCTCCTTAGTAGCTAGGATTACAGGTGTGAGCCACCAGTGCCTGGCTCCCTTCACTTTCTAAGTGAAGTTGTCTATCTACCTCACTTCATTTTTTTTGGAGGGGCAGTCCTGGGGCTTAAATTCAGAGCTTTGCACTTGCTAGTCAGATGCTCTACCTCCAGCCCTTTTTGCTCTGGTTATTTTGGAGATGGGGGTCTCGATTTTTGTCCAGGCCAGCCCAGACCATGCTCCTCCCATTTTATACCTCCCACCGTCACTGAGATGATGGGCACATGCCACCATGCCCAGCTTTTTTCTGTTGTAATGGGGGTCTCACTAATTTTACCCAGGCTGGCCTGGAACATTGATCCTCCCAATCCCAGCCCCTCATGTAGCTTGGGATGACAGGTGCATATCACTGTGCCCAGCTATTGGTTGAGATAGGGTCTTACAAACTTTTTGCCTGGGCTGGCCTTGAACAGAGATCTTCCCCATCTCATCCTCCCAAGTAGCTAGGATTACAAGCATGAGCCGTGGATGCCCAGCTTTTTTTTTTCGTTTCAGACGGAGTCTCACTACATTGCCCAGGCTTGTCTCAAACTCTTTGCTCAAGGGGTCCTCTTGCCTCAGCACGACAAGCAATGGGACTACCTCATTTTTTTTGTGGGGCCGGCAGGGCAGAGGGCAACAGAGTCTCACTATATGTATCTCATTATCCTCCTGACTCTGCCTCCTAAGTGCTAAAATTACAGATGTATATCACTACATCCAGCTCTACCTCACTTCTTATACCAAATAAATTTCTGATGGATCAGAAATTTAAATCCCAAATAGAAACCATAAAATACATCAAGAAGAAAACAAAAGAAAAAAATGTTATCACTTCAAGAATGGGAAATGCTGCTGGGTGCTGGTGGCTCTCACCTGTAATCTAGCTACTTGGAAGGCAAAGATAAGGAAGATCGAGGTTCAAAGCCAGCTGGGGCAAATAGCTTAAGACCCTATCTGAAAAATACCCAACACAAAAAGGGCTGGCAGAGTGGCTCAAGTGGTAAAGCGCTTGCCTAGCAAGCGTGAGGCCCTGAGTTCAAAACCCAGTACTGCTGGGGGAAAAAATGGGATTTTTTCCTAAGATAAAACCCAAGAGTCACAAAAGAAAACATGGATAAATCTGACTTTATGTAACAGTTAAAAATATCTAAAGTGTAAAAAAACAAAAACCCTAAACTTGGGAGTCTTTATTCCCATTTCCTGCATGAGGAGCAGGAAATGCTTCTCCTTTTTCCTCCGTTTCTTCCCACTTTTATCCTGTTATACTAAATTTCTTTCCAAATAAACTTTACTGTTACTTTCACTAAAAAAAATACAAACCCTAAAAAACTTAGAGAAATAAATGAGATAAAATGAGTGCAGTAGACGTACAGTAAAATGGCAGGATCTAGTGGATGGGTAGATAGTATCCACTGTAAAATTTTTTCAACTTTGCTGTGTTTACAAATATTGGGAATTGTGTTTGCAGCCGCCCCCGTGCCGCCGCCGCTCTCTAACGCCAGCGCTGCCTCTCGCTCGCTGAGCTCCAGCCGAAGGAGAAGGGGGTTAAGTAAGGAGAGCTCTGTGCCATGGCTCGTACTAAGCAGACCGCCCGCGAATCCACCAGTGGTAAAGCGCCCAGGAAACAACTGGCTACAAAAGCCACTCGCAAGAGCGCGCCCTCTACCGGAGGGGTGAAGAAACCTCATCGTTACAGGCCTGGTACTGTGGCACTCCGTGAAATTAGACGCTATCAGAAGTCCACTGAACTTCTGATTCTCAAACTCCCCTTCCAACGTCTGGTGGGAGAAATTGCTCAGGAGTTCAAAACAGATCTGCGCTTCCAGAGTGCAGCTATTGGTGCTTTGCAGGAGGCAAGTGAGGCCTATCTGGTTGGCCTTTTTGAAGATACCAACCTGTGTGCTATCCATGCCAAACGTGTGACAATTATGCCAAAAGACATCCAGCTAGCACGCCGCGTACGTGGAGAGCGTGCTTAAGAACCACCAGGGTGGGAAACATTTCATTCTTTAAACAATTGTTTTTTCTCTTCTTCCTGTTACTGGTAGTTCTGAATGTTAGATCTTTTTTTCCCATGGGGTCAAAAGGTACCTAAGTATATGATTGCAAGTGGAAAAATAGGGGACAGAAATCAGATATTGGCAGTTTTTCCATTTTCATTTGTGTGTGGATTTTTAATATAAATGCAGGGATGTAAAGCATTAATGCAAGTCAAATGTTTCAGTGAACAAGTTTCAGCAGTTCAACTTTATAACAATTATAAATAAACCTGTTAAATTTTTCTGGATGATGCCAGCATTAAAATAAGTAAATTTCTTATTGACGG